GGTACCTGGGGCCCCCCTGTGGCTGATCTCCAAGCCTGTACTTCCAGTCCACTTCTGGGTTTGCCACTGAGCACGTGGAGGAGCCCCCCACACTCCTTTGGGACACCCCATGTGTTCCAGCATTGCAACGATCACAAGCCACACCTGCTACCTCAAGGTGTGTAGAAAAAACTTTTAAAGCTGTGGTTTTCTCTGAATCACTGATTCTCTGAATTGGCATCAAATCTTCAGATTCAGATTCAGCCTGAATCAAACTGGGGACAGTAATCCAAATCAAATCTCTATCCCTGATTCGGGCTGAATCTGAATCGAATATGGCCTGCTTTACACACCCCTTTTGATTACTGCTTGTTTGGCTCCAGAGCAAAACTGTGGGCGTCTGTGGCTCTGAGCCATTTCTTTCCTGTCTTTTTCCTTCTAGTGAGAGGTAGCCTGATGTCAAGCACAGAGCATCTGACCTAAGCAGGCTGTTGTCTATAGAAGCTTATGCCTCTTGGAACTAGTTACTCTAAGGTGCCATTCTGCCTTGCCTCTTGTCTTTTCCCTCTGTAAGTAAAAGGCAGAGGAAATATATGACAAGCCTAGTTTTAACACCATCCTTAACAGCCTTATCTGATATAGAAGTGAGAGGCAGTTTGGGGTAAACCCATTCAGTTGCACAGTGTGTTTTTTCTTTGGCTGAATGATTTATACCAAAAGGAATTTTTTACAAAAGTATTTAGTATTTTAAATACTTAAGTATTTAACAGTGTATATAGATTAAGCCGTAAATGATTGGACTTTAAATGAATGCCACGTACTTTTTTTGTAAAGCATTTAAAAATTAGTTAAGTATATGCCTATGATCCTCTCTACACACCACAGGTATCATGCAGTTAACTGGTTAATTGTGCAAACCTTAACACAAGCTGCACATGCAGTGTAGTTACACACCATAGAAAGCTCCAACCCACTATAAAGTTAGACCTCAACAATGTGTATGAACTTTTATAGCTCATTCTTACTGAGCTGAGTTGGCACATGTAGCAAGCTCTCCCCTGTGGCCTGGAGCTGACAGGGTTCCCAGCCACAGGGGTGCCCTTCAGCTGATGTGGGTTCCCAACCACAGGTGTGCTCTATGCCCAGCCAAAGTTGGAAGTCCTGTAGCTACAGGGACTCTAACCCCAGCAGCTGCTAACTTAGGTCCCAGCAGCACGACGAGTCAGAATCCCATAGCTTTCGATGCTGGGTCTGGCAGCTTGGGGCACTGCTGCAGCTGGGAGGGGATGCTGGGTCTGGCAGCTGGGAGTCCCTCAACTGGGGGTGCTCCTGCCTGTGGGAGCTTCCTTCTTGCCAGTGCATGTGTGGCATGGCAGGAGGTGCAATTGCATGGATTGCATGTTAGATACCACTGCATCTTTACCTGCACGTGTAGAGGCCTATTTTGCAGATGCAGAAAGAGGAATAGTAGTTAAAGGACTTGATTGAAGTGCCCTTCAGGTCACTTTTTCCAACTCCCACTTTGCTATTCTAGCCACTAGACAAGACCTACATTACAAACTGTTTAAACAACTTCACCTATTTCAAAGTATTAGAGGACCTTTAAAATGTCAGGTTTTTTTTATCATGACAGGCAGCATTTTTAGGGTTAACATTTATTTCTGTCCCAATCTTTAAATCTGAAATTTGGGAGAAAATTGGGACTCACCCATATCTTCAAATCCCATCTGGCAAAGAATGCGTGGAGGAGGGTGTGGCAGTATTACATGGAAAGATATATTTAAACTTGTAGCTTAGCTACATAACAGTTGAGGAGGGGGATAGAACCATAAATTTGCTTGGAAGTTGTGAAAGCCAAATGGAAAAATATTACATTTTGTAAGGTAAGGTGTTGAATAGTATCCAGAGGGAATTCATAGAAATGGCATTGTTTTAATGTGTATAGAACTTGTCTTAACACAACCTTTTGAAAAATTGCAATCCTACCACTCCACAGAGGGAATGTTAGGGGTCCTAATAAAATTAGACTTTCACTTACAGGGCCAGATTAACCCTTTAGTGGGCCCTAGGCAAACAAACTTGTGGGCCCCTACTTAATACTGTATATTTTTATATTACTTTTTTCACTCAATTTATAATATGTAAAATGAGCACAATTGAGTCTGTCTTTTACTTGGGGCCTTAGGCATGTGCCTACTTTGCCTATACATTAATCCGGCCCTGCTCACTTATGTGGGCACATTAGCTGTTCCAGCTTGGTCCTACGTGACCTTGAAGTTAACTACTTGCACTTGAAAGTTGCTGACAACTTGTGCAGGGTGGTAAAGGTTTTTGTAAATTTTATGTACTTGATTTTTTTTAACTCACTCCAAAGCAGTTTGAACATAAATGAGAACTTGTGAAATGCTGTAACTTTTTAAAAAGCATACCCCCGCATTTTTATCCAGAAAAACCTGCTCTTCATTTTTCCTTGCTTTCACACCCAATTTAAGATTTAAAACCAACCTAAGGACTCTGCCTACTTATACCTGGGTGGGAAGTGATTCATATCTGTCCCTGAACCTCCTGGGGGGAGGGGAGGAGGAACTAATTCTGCCTCTTCAAAATACTCTATTTGCCCCCCCCCCCCCCCCCCCCCCTCCTCACCAACAGGCGATTTTTTTTGTTCTTGTGTGGGGGGGG